AACTGATTTTGTAATTTTTCAAGCATATAGTAGATTACTTTTTGCACACAGTCACAATCACTCCTTTAAAGCTGCGTTCACACCAGAGGCAAATAGCGCGTCAAATTCGCGCCTGCCGCGTCTAGTTATACGCGTGAACACTTTGAATCCATTCGCGCGTCAAGAGTTAACAAAAGTTAAGACTGGCTGCCTACACATTCACTGTTCTATATGTCCTTGCGCCGTAAAGGTATAGAAGACGTTCCTCTCGTTACTTTATTTTAATGCAATACGTTGTTAAATGAGTTTATTCCAAGCGCGCTGTGTCCTTTGTATGGGCATGAGCGATGCTCATTTACAAATGAATCACTCTTTTGAGTCGATTCTGTTCAAAGACTTCATCAAACAAGTTGTCAGATGATCTGTCTAAATCGGTTCGCGAATCAGTTGATCTGTTCAGTTCCTCGCGCACTGACTCGTCTGAAGCGCTTTCAATTCACACCGGAGTCGAAACAGAAGATTTAAATTAAGAGCATCAAGAGCGTTGGATGAAGTGGCCGATCTACAGTCTAGTCTAGTGAATGCAAATCTGCAAATGCATCATATTTTTGGCAGCGATGAAGATCTTTATTAGTTGAACATCTTCGTAAGCTGTCTGTGAATGAATGATTCCACAGGACTATTCGATTTCATTTAATTCAGGTAACATTGTGTGTGTATTGCGCGTGTATTGCGCAGTTGGCATAATCACACGAATAGTTTACATTGATTGAAACTAATTTGTTTAAAAATGAGGCTATTGCAGTAACAAGGCAGGTTCACATAAAATTCTTATGACATATGATGACATTATTTTTTGATCTTACGAGCATTGGCGATGCAAAAACGTCGTGCGTATTGTTCTTTTTCTTCCAATTAGCCTACTATGTTAAAAAAAAGGACGAAAACATGTTACTTGTTCAATTAATAAACAGTTTGTTTGATGACAAATCGCTAAAGATGAAATTGGCCTCCCTTTCTGTCATTGCGTTTTTTTTTTTAACGATATTCGACTTTTGCTCCTCGATTATCGAATGGCATTTTTGGCAGAAATGCACATCCCTACGCGAGGCAAACTATTCTCAAAGACTTACTTTTAGTCATTATTTGGGTAGCACACATATTCTGAATGCCTTCGGGAGAATTCAAATGAGCCATTTTAATCTAGATTAATCTAGATTAATTTCAATATTAATCTAGATTAATCTAGATTAAAAAAAAATAATCTATGCCCACCTCTAATAGAAACAGAAATATTCTTTGTGACTCCGACCTTAAGAAGGAGGAATTACTCTCAGCTCTCCAATATATGAAAAAGGGTAAGAGTCCGGGTCCAGATGGGCTTTCAACTGAATTTTATCAACACTTTTGAAGGTATTGGAAGATCCCTTTTTCTTATTGTTTAATGAATGTATTAAAAAAAAGGATTTGGTTACAACTATGCAGAGCCGATCCTGACCTCCCTGATGGGGCCCTAAGCAAAAATCTGTTAAGGGGCCCTCCTGACCCATGTAAACCATTTGCCATCGCCACACAGTCACACCTGACATCCCAGTTCTCCCACTACAATCCTCCCTCGTTTAGTTAGTACTAATAAAAATTTAATTCCTGATATCAGAAATAGACATCTTTTATATGAATATCAATAATTCACATTTTAAAATAGTACAAATTTAATTATTGATATCAAAAATGCATTCTGTGAATTAATAAAAGCTAAAATGGCTTGCCATTGCATGTCACTGTGTTTTAAATGATAAAAGCAATATTTGATACTTGATGGTTATTTTTTACTGAGGGATGTGCATCCATATTGACCAGTATGTCCAGCCAATCAACATTTTAAATGTAATATAGTCAATGTCAATAGATTGCTTTCCATCTTGCTTTATTGCAGAGTTGTAACTAAACTGACTTGGAGACTAGATAATCATTGTCTTGTTCAAAAAGTATGGAGGAGGGGAATGCGGTGGAGGCACACACACCTCCTCATCAGACCGCCGTGAGTCCCACTCAGAGTCACTCTGGGTGGGTATAAAATCCAGATTACACCGCGCGGTGCTGCTCTGGAAGTCCTAGGGGAGAGGGCCTCCAGGAGAAAGCCGAGCCCAGCCGGGGTGCACTCTGGCTGGGGAGTGAGTTCAATTTCTAGCGCGGTGGAGCTTTGGAAGTATGAAACCTCCAGGAAAAGACAGGCTGGTTTTCTGAAAGTGCATCCCAGGCAGGGTGCAGCTTTCCTGCACACGAATCAAGCTCAAATGCCCATGGCGGGTTTTGCACTGTGTTCAGAGCTTCATGCACTCAGACATGCCCAGGGAGGGTGGCCCGTCCTGGGCCAGATTCAGATTTGCCCACCACCACCGGAGCTTCTTCTGGAGCCGAGACGGTCCTAAATTGGACCTTCAGGGTTTTGTTGAGGAGGGGAAAATGCTCCGCTCGGACAAGGTACACAGACCAGAGAACCGTGGAGGTCAGACCGGGTGGGGAAACGGCCTGACTCAGCCCAGAGAAAGTGCACTTTGTGTGGGCGAGACTTCCAGTAAACGCGGGTCTGGTTTGGACACCCAGACCCCCCCGGTGCCCAGGCATGCCCAAGGTGCGCCGTCCTGGGCCTGCTAAGGGTGAAAGACACACTGGAGGAAATTCCTCCTACAAAAAATGGACTGTGTCCAAGATCTTGTATGCGAACAAGAGCTCCATGCTCACAGACCATGAGGGTGGGTCGTCTCCGGTCAAAGTCAGATCTGTCTGCCTGCTGGCGCTCCTGCTGGAGCAACGACGGTCCAAACACGGACGCTCGGGGTGTTGTAGAGGAGGGGGACGACACTCTGACACCCTCCCTACCTGTAATGTAACAAATTATTTGTCTGGTTTATAAGCCGTTTGAAAAAAAAAATCCCTATATTGTAGCATGCACGCACACACATTCACATTCTCTCTCTCGATTTGCCAGGTATTCTTGTGCACAGAACTGTTGATTTTTCCCTCATTTACCGCATGGTTTCCTTCGGAGGAGTTTTGCCGCTTCGCACAACCAAATGTAGCTACAGCCTCTCACAAGTTAGAAAGAAAACACAGCGGGACTCAGATCTATTAACCGTTTGTGTAATTGGGCATTTTTCTCAGAACGCTCTTGTAATCTAAATGAGATGTTTCCTGGTTAAATAAAATAAGTAATACATAAAAACCACAAGACCCAACCGGACAACAGTGGTTATATATATAAAATATATTAAACGAAAATATTTGATAGAAATTATTGCTAGGGACAAATCAGTGTCACTGGATATTGGTAGCAGGGGCGGACTGGCCATCTGTGTGATCTGGAGAATCACAGAACGGCCGGTACTCCAGGACGGCCGGCGGGCCGGCCCCGGCCCACCACTCGCCACACACGCAGTCACAGACATCCCAAGTCTCCCGGAAGTTCCGGGAGTCTCCCGCATATTTATAGCGGCTCACTGATGCCAGCAAATTAGTTAAAATCTCTCGGAATCTAGAGCGAATAAGAGTGCGCATGCGTAGCGCGCGCACGGCAGAGAGAGGGAGCGAGCTAGAGACCTTGCGCGTGTGTGCTAGTATGCGCGTGTGCCTCACGAAGCATGTAAGGACCCAACCAATCAAGTGCGGGCGGGCTTTTATCTCTACTACTCACGAACCGAATTAATCAGAAATAACTTTGCAAGTTACTTGCTAGGGATGATGTTAGGAAGTGATATTCAGCTTGCTACATTTTTAATGATTACAGTAGTTAAAACAGCTAAACTTCAACATTTTAGCTGTAAAATGCCACATGCAGTAGCTAATATTAAGAAATATGTTGTGCTTTTACTTTTAAAAATGTTGGTAAAGTTACAGTTAATGCTTACAAACTTTGAAGATTTTGAATACAGAAGTTACATTTGTAATGGTGTAATTTCATTTAGATGTGGTATTATTATTTGTGCAGTAGCTAAGATTAATTACTGCATAAATTAATTAAGATTATTAAGTAATAAATTCATGTTAAGACAGCATGGAATAGATTGTATAATTTGCTGTTAGCTAGGTATAGTATTATGAGCCACAATTAAAGTCTTGTGACACTCATGCCAGGCGGCAGGCGTTATTGTTGTTGTTGTCGAGTTTCCGCGCGCCGATTGCTTTGGGATTGCTTTTTCTACGCCCCTGGTCTGCCCTGTACAGTTTAAGAAGCGATACGCAGAGCCATAGGACTATTATTTTGTTGAACAGACCTGGGGAATTACTGATGACGTCACAGGCTCAGATTTGCTTGACCAATCGGCTGAAAGGGGCATCTCATGACCGCCCACATGTGCAAAAAATAAGCCTAGAGCCTATGTTACATGATCATATATTCTGACACAAACAGCATAGAAACCCCCCAAAAAATTAGACCAACATTTACTTGCATCAAGCAACTCTGTTTGTATTTTTATAATTAGTATTAATATAATTTTTACATTTATTTTATTGCCACACTTTAATATGTGAATTATTTTGTTAGAAAACTGAACATTTAGCGTTGTCAGGCTTTTATTTGTGCTTAATGGATAAAACAATGGCGCTACGCACTCAGCTGCTCATAAACATGGCTGCAATAAATTGGACCTGCCACAAGATGGCGCTGTTTTCCACACTCTTGATGCTTTGAATCTTTTCCCGAAACATTCAGGGGAAGGCCTCAGTGCTACATGAGGCTTAATTTGCCCATCCCTACCAAACACACATGCAATCCATGAAATGCAGACAGGAACAAGGATGTATAATAAATATGAAAAATGCAAAAAAGTAGCGTTTTTACTAGTGGCCTCAGACTTTTGGTCCCAACTGTACATGCACAAACCCTGAGCTGATTATAGACTGCCATTTTGCCATTTGTTTTAAAGGAACTGTGCTGGGAGCACCAACAAGTGTACTTGGGTCCTCTGTTCTGGTTAATCTACGTGATGTCAATTCTACTAATGTTGTAAGCACCACAGCTGGCACCACAGCTGGCACGACAGCTAACACCACATCTGGCACTACAGCTGGCACTACAGCTAGGACCACAGCTAGCACCACAGCTAAATCAAATGCCAGCATCTCACTCACCAGCCTACTGAGTCATGGTAAATACATTTCTCAAAAGTTCTCCAAAGTTGTGTTAGTCACAATTTATTCAACAATAACATTTATGTTCTTTTCTCAATGCATACAGTTCAAATAACTCTCTCTTTTCTTGTTATGACTTACAGTAGCAATTTGCCTTCTCGGTATCTTCTTGCATCTGATCTGATGAGACCCGAGAGAGACCTGAGGACTAATCATGCTTTAGAGTAGTATGGATATAGTAGTAACGTTGGCGAGTTTTCCAAAAAAAAAACAAAAAAAAAATCTTATTTCCATTGGCTTCTTTCTTTATCTGATTCTTTCTATTCACAAACATATAAGAAACCCATGTTTGTTTGACATATACATGGTGTTAGGCATGTTGGAAACATAAAAGCCTACATTTTTATTGTGTTTAATGATCCTATGATAACATTATTTTTCTGATATTGGAAATGATCACAAAAATGTACTTGTATTTTGAAAGAGATTTGAAGTTACTTTAAAGATTTGTTAAAATAATACATACATAACAAATGTCATATATATATATATATATATATATATATACATACATACAGGTACAGTATATATCATTAATTACAATGTTAATTACAATATTGTTGGTCAATATTTACTTAATACAAATAAAAACGCCTTTGAAACTTAAATGTTTATTGCAATGTCTCTTTAAAGTGCCTCTATTATGCTTTTTCCAAATATTTTATGCAGTGATATAGCTGTCTGTGAATGTTAACAGTCTGCAAAGTTGGAAAGTCGAAAGTGCACAATAAATAAAGTTATTGTCTCCCAGAAGAAAGAATAGACTAACGAGTCATCAGGAATTCCAGTCTCACTTCCGTGACCTGCATTTGTAACACGGTATCACATTTGCATAATACCATCCTATGGTCTTCAAACGTCTATGACCCTATAACAACTCATAATGTAAAAACTGCACATAACATTATAAATATCACATAATTGTAATACAATTTTCATAATGTAATCTTTCTCAATGTAATAAAATCTTGAGCTCATAATGTAATAATTTTTATATTATGAGAAATGTATTACATTATAAACTCACCAAAAACATTGTCATATTGTCATAATTTGAATAGCTTTTAAAACATAAAACAATTAGTACAACTTACAATCCTGTACAGTGGTTGTAAAATGTCTACACACCTTTGTTAAAACAGTTTGGTTTTGTCATGTAAAGAAAGAAAGAAAGAAAAATTAAATCAGAACTTTTGAATCTTTAAGATACAATATGTAATTTGCCGCTAGGGGTCGCTAATCTCTTACAATAACAAAGGCGTTGATGACGCAAAATTCCAGTTGAATTATGGAACTTGTCGTCAAGCTTATGGATCTAATAATGCTAATGGATGAGTGAATACATTGATGTTTTTATCATGACTGTGGTATGAAGCAGGGCTCGATTGCTAATCAGAGACAGATATCAGCGCCACACGCAAGTCCCGTGGATATAAAGGAATAAGGACATTTAATTCTACCAAACTACCCGCAAGTGCTGAATTACTCACACAGGTCAGTTTATTTGATGAATGAAGCTTGTGTAACGCAGCGCTGCTTCACTCTACACTATCACACTAAACTGCATTTGAGTGTGTTGAAAGTTTTATAGTGTTATTCTATGTGTTAGTTTGTTGGCTGTATGATACTAGCAGTAAGCTAGATCAACATTAGAATAACATACAGATCATATTCTAACATTTCATCATTTTGAACTATAACACCGATTAGTTTTATGTACATTTGCTCACCTGTCTAATAAAGTGCATCATGTAAGAGCTCTGTCAAGTCAAAGGTTGTATCGGACGTGGAGCTCTCGGCATCTCGAAAATTATTTAAAATTGGAATTTCTCTGAAATTAAAAATCTTTGGAAACTTTTGGGATATTGTAAGTGCACAACTGCAGGAAATATATCACACTGTGCAAGTGATTTTTGGATATTTTATTGTACCTTTAATGTGTAATAATAACCTATGCAATCCCACTGAAAAAATGTATAATCAAGCTCATGTGCAATAGTACACGCCTATCACCTGAAATGACTCTGATTAACACCAAATAAATCTCAGCTATTCTTGAGAGATTTTTCTGACATCTTCTTGGTTGCACGCTACTACAAAATTTCCAAGCCATTAGGTATACCATAGTATATCTATATATCAACACAATGACAACAGTCATCAACAAGTGGAGAAAGTATGAAACAACAGTGACAATATCAAGAACATTTACCCTCCAAAACTGACGAGAAGACAAAGAGAAAACTGGTCAGGGAGGCTACAGCAACATTAAAGGCACACTATGCAGGAATTCCGTTTTTGTCAAACAGCGACCCCTAGAGTCGCTGTGGAGTACTTGTATTTAACGTTAATGTCGAAAATGCCACTCACGCAGACCGTCTGCCATAGACTGGTCTCTGCACTCACGGCCTGATACCCCTTTGAAGCTGTTATAATAAGGTACAAATCTTGCATAGTGTGCCTTTAAATAAGAGATCTAGCGCTGAAATGTGATTTTGAACTCAATCTGAGCGCTCATGTCCGCTGCTATCAGTGTCTCTTGTGGCGGCGCGCGCAGTCTTCACTCGGACGCGCTCTTTAATCTATCGCCGTTGCAGAGACTCTCTATTCATTCCGGTGAAATCACAAAATAAAATGCAAAAAAACTTAGAAAGATTTACTTACTAGTCCATCAACAAGATCGCCAGGTCAGCATCACTGTTGCATCCAGTGCTGCTTTTTAGCTCGCGCCAACGAGTGAAAGCCCGACCGAGTGGGACTCTTGTCCGGTTCCTCACGCGGTCAGATTCTCTTTTCCTTTTCCTAGTCTCTTCCGACCGCGTATCCCGTCTGGGTAACACTTTATAATAACTGCACGCTGTTAATCATTAGTTAAGCATTAGTAAACAGTCAATTCATCATTTATAAAGCATTAACAAACATTAATAAGCAGTTTATAAATACAGCTATACATGCTTTATTCTTGATTTAAAAGCATATCTATAGTGTGTTTAATAATTGTATTTTCATACTTTATTAATGATCAATTTATCATTTCTAAATGAAGTATTGCATTATTTATAAACCAGTTATTTAAAAGTTGTCAGTGGTTCATAACATTACTTAGAAAGTGTAAGTAAATGATTAATAAACTATTTAAATGTACATTCATATATCTTATTATTCAGACATATAGTAATAGTTACTTGGTGTGTTAATAAATGCTTTATTAACATGTATTTATACTGTAATTCAGGGTTAATTCGGGTAGTTATAAAGCATTTAGTAGTGGTCAGTTAACTATTTTTGTGACCTCATCTAAAGTGAGGACTATTTATGCCTTGTAAAGCATTTACAAAGGAGATTTAAATGCTGTTAATAATTTCTATGTTCTGTATCACTGTGTTGTGTTTGTTTCATTTTTCTGTTTAGAAGAAAACTGAGTCTTGTAGCCATGGTCAGATCTGCCATTTTCTTAAACTGCTGTTTGTGCATTCTTTTAATTCAGAGACTATGACAAAAGTAGGTGTCCTGGAACTGCTGATTAGATTACCGAGTCACTCACAAAGCCTCTCTGTTGTAATTTGCCATACTAAGCGGATGGTGACTGGACTTGATTGAATTACTGATAGTGATGCGCTCATGAGGTTTCTCTCTTGAGTAAGTGGACAGACGGGCCACTATCCACATGTGACTTCCCCCTGGGGTTTTTCGCTTACACACACAGAAGAGAATTGTGAGATTAGACAACTGGCCATTGTAGCAGTTGTTTAAACTCTTAAAATTCGAAGCACACACGCTCACACGGGACTGGTCGCGAGTTCACCCCCGTCACCATCGGTCAATGAACTCTGAACATACATACATACATACGCATGAACACACACACATACATACTGGACTCGATCACAAATTCACCGCGTGACCAACGCTGGTTGAACTTCTGAACACCCATTTACACACACGGAACACTCTGAACACATGGGATCAAAAATCCCTTTTTGTAAATGTATAATGTTTTGTGGTTGTGTTTTCATGATTCCCTTGTTACCAAATCTGCATAACTGTAAGTTTATAATATGTAATCAGACTTGATATGTGTTTAATCACGAAAATCATGTATCGTAATCTTACTAACGTATAACTCTATCGTGTGCGATATCGTTGTAATCAGAATAACCAAAGAAGATTGAATCAGCAACTCAAAATTTAATATGATGCATGATTTTATTAATACCTAGTTTAAGAAGTATAGTGTTACTAAGTCTTTATCTGCTATGCACATGACAGGGAGGCTGTACCTCGGGAATCACAAGGTCTGGCGACCCGCCTCCCTGCCAAACGATTGGATCAGACACGTGAGAAAGGCGTGTCCCGCGCCCCTTCAAAATAGACCGCCACCTTCTCCTCTTTGCAGTCTTTTAGCCAGAGAGAGAAATCCCAAATTTCCTGCAAACTCCAGCCGGAGTTCTGCCTATTCTTCATCGTCGTTTTTCCTACTTTGTTTTAATCTAAGTTTTCTTTTATTTGATCTACCTCCGTTTGATAGTTGACTTCGGTCAGTGTATTCACGAACGAAACAAGCCTAAGATTTATCGTTTCTCGTACGGGCGCAGCTGAAGCAATCGCAAACATCTGCCTCCTACCGGAAGACGCTCCAGACACGCCAGCTACCGACCAGCCTCTGTAACACAGCCGCACGCAAAAGGGGACCGTTTTAAATCAAGTAACGTACGAATCTCAATTAAGTGCTGCTTAAAGGTGTCTAGATTAACGTTAGAATCCTTCGGGGAGTTTCGTGGTTTTGAACTGTTTTTGAACTGTTCTGTCTCTCTCACTCTCTCACTCTCTCTCTCACACCCTCTCTCTCTCTCTCTCTCTCTCTCTCTCTCTCTCTCTCTCTCTCTCTCTCTCTCTCTCTCTCTCTCTCTCTCTCTCTCTCTCTCTCATTCTAACTGTCTCTTTTTAAATACGTCATATTGCAATCCTGTGTTAATTGTTTGTTTTGATATGCATATTATTTACTCCTGCGTGATTTTTAGTAGTCTATATAACCCTTAGTATTGTGTTATTAAATTCCATAATCCTTTGAATCGAATCTGTCTCATTGTCCCATGCTTGAAGTCTCTGTAATATGTCAAAGGTCTGTAAAGTTGCCAAAGCTCTACCTCGGTTAACTATTTTTTTAAACATCTGAAAGTGCCGTATACGAGCAGATACTTCCGTGTGGCCACCGGAAAATATTCACTCGGTATACAGGCAGGTAATCTTGTGATATAAGGAAGTTTTCGGCTCCGGTCCGCAGGACGAACCGGGATGCATGACAAACTAATTTGGAATCACATGTAAATTGACCCTGATAATTAATCTGACTTAACCAACCCAGATATTAATAATTACTACGATTAATCGTGTTAATTATTCATATATGGTAAGGTTTAGTCCATTCCCTATTTGAGATAATTTAGTTTATGTATGCGATAGTGCATATTCATTAGCTTATGAATAATATTCCCCATTTGAGCTAATAATTTCCCCAAACAAACTCATTGTTGCTACAGTCTTTAAATCTCCTTTATAAATGCTTTACAAGGCATGAGTAGTCCTCACTTTAGATGAGCTCACAAAA